AGGAGAGGGGGAGAGAGAGAGAGAGAGAAACATCAATGATGAGTCATTGATCGAGCCCACAACCCAGGCATGTGCCCTGACCGGGAATCGAACCCGGATCACCTGGATCCTAGGTCGATGCTCAACCACTGAGCCGCGCCCGGCTGGGCAGGATGTGCTTATTGATTTTAGAGAGAGAGGAAAGGGGGAGAGAGAGAGAGGAAGGGGGAGGGGAGAGAAAGAAAGAGAAAAACATCAGTAGGTTGCCTCCCATAGGTGCTCCCACTTGGGTTTGAACCGCAACATTTTTGGTGTCCAGGACAACACTTCAACCAACAGCCACCCAGCCGGGACTTACGAATCTTTTTTATCGTGTTGTTTGCTTTTTTAAAACTTTGGAGTAGCAAATATTCTCATCTGGCACAGAGTAAAAGGCATCAAGTGATATTTTGGGGGAATACTGTTAGAATTTTTCTAGAGAATTTTAAGGTAGTTGGCAACTATAAAATCGTTAAATTCCAAATAATAATCTTCTAACTTTATTTCTCCCCTCAAAGTGAATTAAAGCAGATGGTTTTGTTTTTTTAATTGAGGTAACATTGGTTAGTAACATCATATAAGTTTCAGGTGTACAACATTATAATTTGCTGTGTATACTATAGTGAGCTCACCATCCAAAGTTTAGTTTGCAGTCGTCAGCGTACATTTGACTACCTTTACCCATTTTTCCCACTACCACCCTCTTCTCTGGTAACTACCAATCTGTTGTCTGTATCTTTGAGTTAAAGCAAATGTTTTTTTATTTTATACTTTCATGTAATAATATAGTTATACTAATTTTCTCTTTTTTTAAATAATAAAAGCATCCATATTTAAGATTTCAGTGGGCCCCAAATTTTTTCTATTATTCTGATTTTTATCCTTTTGATATCAGCCTCAAAAATATAATCATTAAAGGGAATTTTCAATTCTAGGTAATTTTCGGGTATAGCTCAAATTTTTCTGTTTGTTGGCATTTTGCTTGGTGAGCCTAGTTTACTAAGAATGTTTTAATTTCTTTGTTCAAGTTCTTTGTTTTCTCTTGAGTGACAGCCTTACTGTTCAATTCGAAAACTTCTCTATTTAATTTTTCCATCTCATGTCTTAATTCCAGAGATGGTTTCTGTGTTGTTGAGGTTTGGGTTTTGCTGGGTTACAGGAAATGAGTGCTCGGCTGTGGGTTGCCTGGCTGAGACGCGTTCGTGCTGCTCTCAGTCCTCCTCTGTGGTTTCCATAGGTGTGCAGGAGTCTTAGAGTTTGAGACTCTGTTTTTGCTGTCATTTTAATCCTTTAATGTTATTTTAGTGATTTAGATTTAGCTAAGTCTTTGATTTAATTCCAGCGACCAGAGCAAGGACAGCTTTTAGTTAGACTTCTATTTTACTACTTTATGTGAAATCATTGGCTAGGTTAGGTTGGCTGCTTTAAATTGGCCATTTTATGTGTTTTTTTCTTTCCTTTTTAGCCACATGCTAGTTTAATCATTTTGTCTTATGCCTTAAATGTAATAAATGATAGGATTTTTAAAAGTCCGTCCTGGGAAGGACTTAGAGCTCATCTAATTCACTTCCTTCACCTTAGATATGAGAGCCTGACCCCACAGCCCCTGGACCCTTATAGTTCAGTGGGAGAGCTGGAGCTGTAATGTTTATTTTGACTCAGTCAGGTGTGGGGTTTTTTTCATTATTCTGTATCACCTGTGTTTCAATTTTACATGTCAAATTATTGATCAATTGAATAATGACTTCCAATCTGTGCAGACCTCTTGAGTCTCAGTTTTCTTATTTCTGGAATGAGGATGATATGTATTCCAAAGGTGCTTAGCACTGTGCTAGTCCACAGTTAGATGATCTGCCCTGAGGTGGCTTCACCCAGGCACCTGAGTTTTTCTCCTTCATGCTAATTCTTCCTGGCTTCTCAGTTTTCACTTTCACCATTCACATTAGCCTTCTCACCGCCCATCCAAACCCAAACCCTCATTCTTTGAGGCTCATCTCAAGTCCTAACTTCTCTGTGAAACCTTCCCTGGAAAATCTAACCTCAAGAAATGACAAAGACCATTGCATTTCAGATTTTCAGGTTCCTCAATTTTTTCAAAGAGTTAAGTACTTCATAACCTTCTCTCCCCCCTCCTCCCCATTTTAAACAAAGCATTTAATCCCTATATATGTAATAATGTGCTGGAAATTTTATGGAGTTATACATCAGCTGTCTCTTTATTTTAAAAGTTTGTCTTAACCAATTCAGAAATTAGGTGTACAGACAGAATTGCACATGGTAGCTACATTTTGTATATGTTACAGAAAGCACAAAAATTCTTTTATCTAAGGATGTTATGTTTTGCTAGAAAATAATTGGTAAAGGGTTAAACCAAATATCGATTCATTTTTCTACCTCTGGGATGCTTACAGAATGATAGAAACTATTGGGATTGTGTGGAAAATCATGAGTCAGTTTATAATGTTGTATTTCATAAACACCAACTATGGTGATCACATTAGATCTCTATTCACGTACAGCAATCTCCAATCTCCATGCCAGGCATAATGTACAGTCTCTAGACAGCTGTGGAGTAACTATGAACCATTTTCTTAAAATCCAGTCTTTAACCCTGAGTATTTATCACTGTAGATTTTAAACTTGACATCTATATCTACTTTAATAATAACGGTGATAGAGTTGGGACCCTTGGGAGTTCAATCCTTAGGATTTTGCCTTTTCTCTGAGAAATCTTTTAAGAAAGTTGAATTTTACGAACTATCTCTGGAAAGAGCACTCCTCTGGTCATTTTAGATTTCAGCCACTCGCTAATATAACTCATTTTAATTGACGGTAGAATTCAAGCAGAAGTAGAATTGTTGTAATTAGCCATCTTCTATGTGGGAAAAGTACTACTGCTGCTTAATATGAAGAAGAGACTTAAATGCACCCACTTTATTGTCTTCGGGGCAGTGGATTATTCCAGTGTTTCTTAATCACTTCTAAGAAATACGTAAATAATGATTTTGATAAAAACATCTATTAGCCTAGTCTAAACATGGAAATTTTATTGGAAGATTTGGAGAGGAGAGGAGCTTTTATGAAATGAACACTTTAAAAATAATCGCTCAGACCAAAGAATGCAGTATCTATTTTCTTTTCCTGTTAGACTGATGGGCTTGTCTGAAACCTCTTCAGGCTACGTTAGTTAAATGGTGTCTTCTTTATAGGATTCTTACGGGAATTTTTGGCAGATCAGTGATGGGTCCACATTTTGGGGGAGTAGAGGGAGATGGAAAGGTGACTGCACATAACCAGAACTTTTGGTGCTGTGCTTTTACTCTAAAGACCTGTTCTGATTTCATTTGGGCAATTTCAGTTACTTGTGTTTGGATCTAATCCTTCAGTTCAGCCGCAATATTAGATACAAAGCAATGAGGTTGATTAGAAAAATGGTCAAATCCTTTTCTGAATTATTTTTGCTTTTTAATTTACAAGACTTTTGGCATTAGTGGTAGTGTTCAAACTTGAGCCATTACGACTGCTTGCTAATAGTGGACTTGTCTGAGTTTTACTAACTCACAGCAATTTTACAGACTCACTTGTAATTCTCTCTGCTCCTTTGACAGGATATCTACAGAGAAATGGGGTTTGGTCACTATGAAGAAGAAAGCTGTTGGGAGAAACAAAAGAGTGAAAAGAAAGACCGACCTCAAAACCGAAGTCGTAGCCGATCTCGAGAAAGGGGTGGCCACCATAGTAATAGTCACAAATCCAAATACCAAACAGGTCCCTATGACAGGGAAAGGAGTAAAAAGAGAGACCGAAGCAGGAGTCCCAGGAAATCCAAAGATAAAGAAAAATCTAAGTACAGATGAAAGATGAAGAATCCGACAGGAGTGGCTAAAGGATTTACTCTTGTCTAACTTAGAGTAATATTTGTTCAGATTTTGAATCAAGGCAGTTAAAGACTCTGCTTGTTCCCCCCCCTATATTCTAATTGTGCCCCTTTTAGGTTAATTATGATTGTGTGGGCACAGAAAGACAAAGAAGTGAACATTTTTTTTGTATACTTTTTTACACTAATTTTATTGTTATACATAAATAGTAGTCTTCATTTTTCAAGTTTTTCACATTTTCCACTTTTAAAAAATGAAGTATTTCATACCTACAAAAAAACATGTATATATGGTAAAAATAATAATTATCTTTGTACCCATCAGCCAGCTTAGGAAATGAATATTACCTGCATTTTAGAAGTCCTGTATGTCCCCTCTCCTTCTCAAGTAATTATTATAAATTTTGTGTTTGTTATTTTCTCTCATTATAGTTTTACAACATCAGTATCCCTAAATGAAATGTTAAGTTTTGTATGTTATTGAATTTTATATAAATGGTATAACGTATGCTCACTTCTGTGACTTGCTTTTTTCAACTTAGTGCTTTTTGAGAATCACTCATTTTTATTGCTGTGTAGTTCATGGATAGACCGCAGTTCATCCTTTTTTCTGTGGGTGGGTGGATGTTTGGGGTGGGTTTGGTTTGGTTTTGCTATTGCAAACAGTGCTGCTATGAACTTTGCATGTCTGGGAGGAACACTGCTTGGCCACGTGGTCTGGGTGTCTTCGTTTTACAAGATGATGCCGAATTGTAGCGTGCAGTGGGTGTACCCGCTTATGCCCTACCAGCGCTGTGTGAGTTACCTTCATCTCATGTTATCTCCAGCACTTCTTAATTTTGGACTTTGTAATTTTGCCACTCTAGGGGAGCTTAAGTGGCATTTTCTTGTGGTGTCCAGCAAGAAGACTATTACATTCTTTGTTGTTCTGTATGTAATGTGTTCTTTTTCTCTGGCTGCATGTAAGTTTTTGAGTTTTAAACAGTTTGATTATGGTGTGCTTGGTATAGTTTTTTTGATATTTCTTCTGATGGGGCTATTTACCTGTAGTTTTATGGTTTTCATCAAATTTGGAACATTTTTGGCTACTATTTCTTCAGTTATTATCATTATTTTTGTCTTCCCTTTCCTCTCACTGCTTTCCCTCTGGGACTTTAGCTGTATGTTAGGCCACATTCAATTGTCTCCCAAGTTTAAGTCTTTTTTTCCTTTTTGTATGCCAAATTGGACAGTTTCCATCATGTCCTTGAGTCCATGAATCTTTTCCCTTGCAGCATTCAGTCTCTTGTTAATTCCATTCCTTGTATTTTTGACCTCAGACATTAGTTTTTTTATTTTTATTTTCTTTAACCTTCACCAGAGGATATTTTCCCCATTGCTTTTCAGAGAGAGTGGAGAGAGAGGGACAGAGAGAAACATCTCTCTTGATGTGAGAGAGACACATGGACTGGTTGCTTCCCGCACGTGCCCCAACCAGGGCCGGGGATCGAGCCTGCAACTGAGGTACGTGCCCTTGGCCAGAATCGAACGCGGGACCCTTCAGTCCGAGGGCAAGCGCTCTAACCATCGCGCAAACCAGCTAGGGCCAGACATTGTACTTTTAAGTTTCATTTTGGTCTTCTCTACCTACCATGTCTTTCCTTAACACGCTCATGCATTTTCCTATTTTGAACATCTGGAGTAATTTCTGGTAGGTGTTTTGGTGTTCTTGACCATTCTGTCATCTGGGCCATTTCTGGTTTGTTTCTGTTGGTTGATTTCCCCCCACCCTCATTATTGGGTTGTATTTCCTTTGCATGCCTGGTAATTTTTGAATTTTATGTTGTTCGGTGCTGGAATTTTTTATATTCCTTTAAATATGTTGAGCTTTGTTCTGGAACCTAATTAAGTTACTTGGAAACAGTTTGATTCTTTGAAAGCTTTCTTTTCAACTTAATGAGGTGGGACTACAATAGCCTTTAGGGCTAATGTGGCCCACTGCTTAGGTGATACCTTCCTGCACAACCTGCCCTATGCCTGGTCTCTTACGAGATTTCTCCATTCTGGCTTTGGGGATGAAAGCTGTTCTAGGCCCTGTGTGAATTCCCAAACTGTGCCACCTGTTCTTGCCTGGTGGTTCTGTCCCATCGTTGGGTAGTGTCCTCACATGTATACACTGACTGGTATCTGACTGAAGACTCAGGGGAACCCTCTGTGGACCTGGAACTCTCCCTGTGTGGCTCCCTCCGCTCTCCGGGACTGCGCCCTACAGACTTGATCGTGGCTGTCCTAAGTTCTCTACCCATGGAGACACCCAGGCTCTTTGGTTTCCAGGGCTACAGCCTGGAAACCATGCAGTGCGCTCGGGCCATTGTAGGACTTACCTTCAGAGTCGCTGTCCTGTTGTCCTACATCTGAGAAACTGTTGTTTCTACGTTATACAGGTTTAGTTGGGAAGGTAAATCCTGCCCCTGTTAATCCATTTTGCCTGGAGTGGAAGTCTTGTTTGAATTTCGGCATCTTATACATTCTCATTCCGGAGTGCTCTCTGTGAAAAGTGTTTTTCATGAGTTTTGCCCATTTTATGTTAAGCTGTTGTCTTACAGATTTTTTTAAAGCACCTAGTTTTTAAAAAAATATAGATTGTGGATATTTTTGCTATTAGATGTTGCAAACATCTTTCAGTTTGTGGCTTATTGTTTCACCTTTCTATTGATGCACTCGGAAGAGCCCAAGTTTTAAATTTCTGCTCAGCTTTTTAATATGAAAAAATTCATACATTTATAGAAGCACAAAACCTGAACATCCATATGCCCTCCACCCAAATTTATTAGTTAATAACATTTTGTTGTTGAACAATTTGAAAGTAAGTTGAAAATACAATCACATGTCACCTTTCAGTGTTTCACCATGCATTTCTTCAAAAGCAAGTGCCCTCTATAACCACAATACAATTATCAAACAAGATCAACAGCAGTCCCATAACATATAGTCTATATTCAAATTTCCCTGATCATGTCAAGAATGCTACTTTTAGGTGTTGGTTTGTTTTTAAATCCAAACTCAGTCAAGGTTCACGCACTATGTTGTTCCTGTCAGTTTACTCTCTTAACCTAGAAGAGTTTCTTATCCATCCGTCTCTACCTCCCTTCTTTTTAATGACATTGATTTTTTGAAGAGTTCAGGCCAGTTGTTTTGTAAAATGTTCCACTTCTGGAATTATTTTATGGTATCATCATGGTGTCTTCTAACCTCTTTATTTCCTGTAAACTGGAAGTTAGAACTAGATGTTTGATTAGAATTAGGTTTTTGTATTTTTAAGTAGAGATTCCTAAGTTTAATGTCAGATTTATTAGCTTTTTTCTGTGTGTTTTGTGCCTTTTGTATTTTGTTTAAGAAATCCTTAATAAAGATATTCTATATCCTAAAGGTTATAAATAAAGCTTTGTTTTTCTACATTTAAGTCTTTAATCCACATTGAATTGTGTGTGTGTCTATGGTGTGATATTGGGATCCAAATTCACTTTTTTTGCATATGGATATGCCCAGCTGACAAAACGCATTAACGAATGGCTCACCCACTGCTTGTTGGCCGACTTCCATTTCTGTCGGACAGGTTTCTGTGTGTGTGCAGGCTTTGTCCATGGGCTCTGCTCCCTCGGTTAACTTTCTCCTGCCGGCAATACCAAACATCTCTATTTCTGTAGTTTTATAGAAAGTATTTAAGCGAGCCCCCGCCTGTTTTGTTAGAAATGCCTTCGCCCTTTGTTCTGTGCAGTTTTGGAACCAACTTCTCAGACTGTCCAGAGAATTCTGTCGGGACTCTAATTGCCTTTGCTTTCTAATGGTAGATGGTTTTGTGGGGGGAAAGTCTTCACGATACTGAATGTTCCTGTTCATAAAGACAGCATAGCCTTCCTTTTAGTTAAGTTCTTAGGATTTCCTTTATAAAGTTTTGAACTTCTTTTGTTAAATTTACTCCTGGTTTCCCTATCCTAATGTTCTATTATCAATCGTGTCTTTTAAAAGTATGATTTTCCTGTTTCCTCACCTAAGAAGTTTTACATATATTTTTAAATTTTTATTTTTTAGATAATTTTAGATTTATGGAAGGGTTACCAAAATAATTTGTGTAACATCCTGTGCAGAGGCCAAGCTCATCTTTGTCTCATTCCGGTCTTAGTACTTGTGCTGCTGAAGTGAGCACAGAAGTTATATTTTCGATTACTGCTCTTATGTCCAGACATTTTACTAAATTAAAATATGTAAGGTTTTGGGGGGGAGGGTTGGGGGGTAAGTGGACAATAATATCTGCAAATAAGAATTGTTTTTCTTCATTATTTTAAAATGTATTTTTTAAACTATGTATACATGCACAGTGTAAAAATATCACAGGAAAAACAAGTCTGATTTCAAGGTCTACCCTGACCTCCATCATTGCAGAGCTGGGAAGATGCCTGCACATGGTTTGTTTTCTTTCTAGTCTAGTCTTTCTCTGAGGGTGAGCCCTTCTAGTCTCCTGGCTTTATGTGAAGATTTTTAAAAAGTGTTTTTTTAAATATTTTTTAAAGTTGATTTTAGAGAGGAAGGGAAAGGGAGAGAGAGAAATGCCAATGTGAGAGAAACATTGGTTGCCTCCCGCATGCACCCCGACCGAAGACCTAACCTGAAACCTGGGCATGTGCCCTGACTGGGAATCGAACTGGCGACCTTTGGGGGCACGGGGCGACGCTCAACCAACTGAGCCACAGCTGCCAGGGCTTATGTGAAGGTTTTAGATTCAGCTTCCCAGCTCTCAGGCCCAAAGCCTAGTCTTCATCAGGATCCCTCCTCACTGCTGGCCTGAGGCCTTTAGTCCCCAAGCTCTGCACTGTACTTGATTCGTAGCCATCAATAGAGAAGATGGTAACAATGTTACATAGAAAACTATCACCCTGAATAGAGAAAGAGAAATATTGTCCATACAGAAGACTCTAAAATGTGGCCTAAAGGATGAGTAAGAGAGAAATAATGGTTGGATGTGACAGGAGTGGTGAGAAGAAATAACTCTGAAGCTTGAATTCAATAGGTTCAGTGGAAAAATAAAAGTAGTAAAACTGAGCCTAGAATTTCAAGGAACAATTGTCCTTAATTGCAAAAGCTGACACTGTAGGTATGAAAACCTGTCATTTTTTACAAGAGATGTGTGGATGGAAACAAAGCTCTATTAATCCGGGAGTGATTTTACTGGCGATGACCTCCAACCACAGTGTCCATCAGGTACCCTTGACTTACAGGGCAGTCCTAGTGCTATGTTACCACTATTAGCATCTAGGCTAAAGCAACCATGTTATTTTGAGATTCAAATTGCTCACTCATTATAACTTGGCTGTAAAGTTCCAGGCTGATGTCTTTTACCAGTTGAATTTTGAAAGATTTTGATCAGAAACTATTAAAGGCTCAAGGTAGAGAAACTTTAAGTAAGTTTATACTTACACAAGTGGCTTTTAATAAATTGGTTGCTTTTGAGTTATTGAAAGATATATTTCATATGTTTTCCACTGATCATAAAAAATTTTCATCTCAAGTTTGACATTTCTTACCCATCTAGACTGAGTCACAAAGACTGCATAATAGATAGTAAAATCGAAATCACAGAGGCCCTACCTTTCAGTGGCTGTTGCTATGAAACTGTTTTGATGGGAAATTTTAGAGAAGCTCGGGCTTCCTGTTATTAAATGATAGACTATGGAGATCCCCTTAATTTTCAAAGTTTTCTCTTTAAGCAAACAATCTCAATTCTTGCTACTGGGACGGTCTTTATTGTCACCCTCTTACCCACCCAGGACTGCTGATTAGGGTTCGTTTTTTGCCTCCTCTCCTGTTCCTTGGGTATGGAATGGGCAGATGGGCGGGGGTCTGAGAGGTGTTTTATGTGCAGTGAGAAAGTTGTATTGCTATTACCTATTTTGCCTAGGACACTAGGAAGCTTGAGACACCAAAAGGACTCAAATATGGCCACACACTGGCAAGAGAGCTTGTCTAACAGAGAACTTAGGAAAGCATGGCTTTGTTGTCGTGAGTCTAGAATAAGACCACACTCACCGCTGGTTCCTGAAAAAGAGACAAGTTTTGTTTTGTTTTGTTTCCTCCAAGGGTACCTCGGTCTGGCGGGGAGAGCTTGGGATCCTGAGTCAGAAAAGTTGAGTCAAGAGCAAGGGCAGGACCACAACAGAGGACTGAAGAGTGACGGGCATCGGAAGGGAGGAGGGAATTAGGGAGAGGGGCGCACGGAATGCAAAGCCGGGAAGCGTGGATGGATTTGCCAGGCAGCCGGAAAGCAGAACATCTTCCTAGTGGAAGATGCGGCTCTGGGGAGTTGAGAAAAGCTACTCTGGGAGTTGTATGCAGGCT